TTCCTTGAATAGTTCCTTTGAACTAGTTCATTCTGGGGCGACACAACTCTAGGGTTTTGGGCACGATCTACGATAAAATATAACATGCATATAACGTTACCACCTTCATTTTCTGTATTTTGAGGTCTTTACATTTCCTACCAATGCAACTGTAATTTCAAATTGCGAGGTTTTTGAGTCTAAAATACATATTATCAATAATTATAAGGTTTTGAGCATAGCCCCAATTTAAAAGTATCGCCCATATTTCTCCCCTCAAATTAGCTGTAATTTTTCATTCCAGGTCTTGTATGAATAAAGATATCTGAACATAGCCCTTATATTAAGGTTGCGTCCCATATGCATAATTTTAAGGTTTTAGAAAAAATGTTCCACTGAAGTGTGGCTGTAATTCGAAAATCGTGTTTGTCGAAAATTCCGATGTCCATTTGTTGATTTGGAATGTCAAATTAAAGTCACTTAGTTGTGGAAATGCAGTTAAGCCCGAAAATTGGGCTTCTGTCAAAATTATAGAACCATATTGATAATGTTCTGCCAACCAAAATTCAAAATGTACAAAACGGTTGAAACGCAAAAAGTGGTGCAGTGCCGTAACATAGGTGCTACACAAAAATAGGGATACGTAGTCGAATATATTTACTTTTCGATTTTTGCGTATGACTTTTCGGTGTTTCGATTTTGTCAAACCGGTTCAAAATCGTTTATATTGAATTGTTGTCAACAGATACAATAAAGTTCTGGAATATGTAATTTTTGAGCTTTGTGATAACAAACCAAGTATTTATGAAAAAAAAAAAATCGAAAGTCGGTCTTGAAAAGTCGACTTTGCAATTTCCTCAAAGATCAAAAGTCGTCTTCGACTTTTTGGACCTTTCAATAAAAAGAGTCGACTAGTCGAATGTTGATATCTCGATATGTGTCAAAAATTTCAATTTTATATATTGAGGTCACTGTCCTTATTTCAACATCCTTATATTTCAATATTCTGATCAAAATTATATATATTTTATTAGACCTTCCATAATATGAACACCACCTTATGGTAAAGGGTATAAAAGGCTCTGTCTTTTTGTTCACCCAGCATTAGATCTGTCTGTTTACTCGATATTTGGTAACAATTGTTACCAAATGTTACTAAATGTTGTCCATTTACCCAAAAATCCAGTAAAAGAGAGTCAAGTGAGAGAGCAAGTTTGACAGTTCAACAACAACAAACTTGCTGGAGTTTACTGAAAGAAAATTTTTATACCCTACACAACTATGTTGTTAGGGTATTATAGCTTTGTGCAGCCCCAAAAGTTTGTAACGCCGCGAAATATTGGTCCTAGACCCACCTTTTAGTATACCGATCGTCATATCTAGACTAGCTTAGTCGATCTAGATATGTGTGACCGTCCATCCGTCCATTATAATTTGTAAACACGATACAGGCTACAGTTATGGACCAATCTTCACGAAATTTTCCATGTTGGATGGGTTCGGCCTAATGAAAACCCCTATTTTGGTAAAGATCGGTTAATATTTAGGGGATGAAATGTACCAAATTTTTAATTTCTGTCCGTTTTTCTGCTCGCTCCAGAGGCCGCAATTATGGCCCAAATATCGCGAATTTTTACATGGAGAAAGGGATTGGGCAAATAATAAGCATGGGTGTTTCGATAAAGATCAGTCAATATTTAGTGGGTCACTTTGAAATTTTCCATTAGGTTCAAGTTATGGTCACCGACAACGCCTATAATTTTCGTTGATGATCAGATAATAATTTTGGGATGAAATGGACCGTAAAATTATTTTTTGGTTTTTTTGGAGTCGATCTATAGGCCAAAATTGAAAGCCGAACATCACAACACAACCCACGGTGAAGGGAATCTGAACAAGTGTTAATGTTAATAACATTTGTAAAATTTGTTGACCTCTAGTCGGTCAGGAGGGTGCAAATATCGAGAAATATTGCCCAAGCTCAGAATATAGAACCACATAAAGTTATAGTTTCGTGGAAGTTGTGTAGGGTATCATATGGTCGGCCCCGTCCGACTATACTGCTCCGCTCACTGGTTTTTAATGTCTTTGATTTACAAATTTGTACTTTGTTGTGGCAAAATTCCCTCATCGAAATATTTGTTTAGACTCCATATGTCTTTGGATCAAATCCGATTCGACAATGACTGGTGCATTGTCGATATCTTTCGAAAGGAGTAACTTATTCCATCCAAACTTAGCACATATCAATGTTTCTTCCAAATTTAAATCAAGTTCGGAGATGGAGAACATCGAACCACTCCTTCTGGTTCCTCCCCACAAAGTGTCGAAATTATTACAATTTGTTCATCCAATATCAGTTGAACGGAATGTTTGAGTCAAACTTTCCAACTACTTTTACCAAACCTAGATCAAGTTCGAAGATTGGAACCAACGGGTCAATGTTTCAGGGTCAACATTTGAAAAGGTTGTAAATATTGATTTCATGCATTGATTGCACATCGTAATATCTTACCAAATCTGCATTAAATCCGAATATGTGGCCTGTAGGGCATAACTCTTTGAAAACAACATATACCTTATATAAAGCGAATGGTAAATACTGTGTGGTATAAATATGGAAGGCCTTAATACTTATACATAATATAAATTTAGGGCAATTATCGGTCACAATATAATAAAAAAAATGTTCCACCTCGGCACTAGAGAGTAGTTTCATAGACCACAGAAAAACTTAATTTGAGGGTAGAATATTCGAACTTTGTGGTCCAGATGGTTTTAATTGTTATTGGAGAGATCTACGGACGGAACCACCATATTCCTTAAAACGAAATTTCGATGGCGGTTCCTTAATGGTCATGGGAGCATTTTGTTTTGGCATTTCCTATTTGTCGAATGCATTCAATGGAGTACGTTTAAGTCTTGGAAGACAAATTTATGCCATTTTGGGAAAGCAGCAACAATGAACGACTCGTTATTCAGCAGGACAACTCATCAGTTCTTAAAAGTGGCCATATTTAAGAATGGTTAAATAAAAAAAAATATTCAAACTTCCTACCAGAATCCGATTGAGAACATATGGGGAATCTTGACACGACGTCGTGTCTATGCAGAAAACCGCCAATACCAAACTGTGTTTAACCCCAAAGTAGTGTTTATTGATTAATGGCGGTCAATCGATGAATATTTGCGAACAAAATTTGATAGACAGTATGAACTTATTCAAAATAAGGGAGAATTTGATAATTTTGTTGTGTATAATAACTTAATGGGCAAATTTAATTTGCCAACTAAAATGCCAATTGAACCAGTGAGCGGAGCAGTATAGTCGGACGGGGCCGACCATACGATACCCTACACAACTACCACAGATCTCTATCATTCTGCGGATTTTTATTCCGAGGCTGGGCAATATTTCGTGATAGTTGCATCCTCTTGGCCGATAAGGGGTCACCTCTTATCGGCACCTCTTCATTACACTGACATATTTTTCGAATATTACCAATATTCAGTACAGCTCTTCTAATTACTTGGCCATATTCCCTTCACCGTTGGTTGTGCTGTGATGTTCGGCTTATAATTGTAGCCTATAGATCGAATAAAAAAAACACAAAGAAATTAGTTTTCGTTCCACTTCATACTAAAATTATTATCTGATCATCACCGAAAATTATAGGCGTTGTCCTTGACCATAACTAGAACCTCATGGAGCATTTCAAGGGGATCAGCGCTATATTTCCGCCCTCTAGTGTGGTAATGGTTTATTAAATAATATCTGAATCTGAGTATATACGACAATATAATTGGTATCAGTTTAAAGGCCAGCCACTCCTCATGGATATACTATAACCTTGTCGGGTCTATGTCCTTCAGGAGTAAATATGTACGCTATAGAATACAAATTTTGTCACACAAAAGTCTGGGTCCATTTGACCCCCTAAATATTGACCGATCTTTATGAAAACAGGCAGGCTTATTCTTTGGCCCGATACCCTTCTCCATGTAAAAATTCTCGATGTTTGGGCCATAATTGCGGCCTCTGGAGCGACCAGAAAAACCGACAAAAATTTGATATTTGGTCCACTTCATCCCCTAAATATTACCCGATCTTTACCAAAAACAATAGGGGTCTTCATTGGCCAGAACCCATCCTACATGCAAAATTTCGTGAAGATTGGTCCATAACTGTGGCCTGCATCGTGTTTACGGACACACATGTCTACATCGACTCAGCTAGTCGAGATATGAATATCGGTATACTTAAAGGTGGGTCTAGGACCAATATTTCGCGGCGTTACAAACTCTTGGGGCTGCACAAAGCTATAATACCCTGACAACATAGTTGTGTAGGGTATAATAAAAGTCGCGTCTATAGTTATGGCACGCAGTGTAGTGGTCGTCTTTGAGTATAACCGAATCCACATAAAAATGGCGATTAATCAATAAATACAAATTATAATGGACGGACGGGCGAAAAAAAAACATGTCTAAATCGAATCAGCTTGTCGAAATATATCGGTAGTTTTGGAGTAATATTTCGCTGTTTTACAAACTCTTGGGGCAATAAAATTTCTCACAACACATTTGTGTAGGGTAAACAAATATAGAAAAAATGTAAATGTGCCTGTAACGAAAAAATACCAAAAATCTGCCCAAGTCCTAAATTTCACATTATTTATGCTCACTTTTGGGCAAAAATGCCCACTTTCGGCAACACTGCTTATGATGGTGGGTATAAAGACGGTTATATCTTTTATGGTGACCCAGCATTATGCGACGCTGAGCGTTTTTACATAATAAATAGTGGAAGTTAGAAGGCCATGATTATTATCCAATACACGAACCACAATGGAGAAAAATACAGTAATTCATATGTTGCCAACTAGATGGCAGTGTATGTCCTTATAATACTTATTATAATATTATAACAAATCGATTCATTAATTAAAATTTATTTTATCATTATTAATAAATATTTGTATGAATATTTCAATATAATACACATTGTTACTTTGGCTCACACAGATTCACTTCAACATATTCCATTTCGGTCTGTGGGCCACGGCTTACAGATGATTTCGAAAATGACAGTCGCGAAAATACCGATGTTTTGATATTTGACTTGTGTAATCTGAAACCAAGACAGATCATTATTGGAATATTATTATGAAAAAAATCAAATAAAATCGAAGTACCTTCTCCTTATTGACTGCAGTACATTATGTTTCAAAATGAAGAGAATAAATATGAGAATACCCTGTAGAGCACTACGCAAATCGGATAATAATGACATAAATTCCCAGGCTTCATAATTACGCAAAAAATACGATGAGATATCCAATATCCATGATAGGCCCAAAATAATAAAGATACGCAATATGACAACAGCGCTGACAAAGACAGATAATGGTTAGAGCGAACTCAATTGAAAAATAAAGAAAATTAGGTGGGGCGAAATTGATCTCTTTTGTTAGGAAAATTTTGCAAAATTATATTGACTTACTTTTCTTTGAAAACTTCTTTTCTCTCTGTCATCTGAGCCATATCCGAACGTATGCGATAAATTCTAAATGTTAAATGGATAAATGTTGCAATACTGAATAGCAAAATTATTAAATTTGGCCAATAGAAATAAATTGCTGCTGACCATTTGTTGGCTAAAATTGCAAAAAAAAAAAAAAAAAAAATAAAACATGTTAATAAAACTTTTTTTAAAAAAGTAGATTCATCAACTTACTGTCCAGCCAACAAACATCATAACCAATACCCGGTTTATAATCATCCGTTATATGATCTGACCACTGACACAACATTGTCAAAATGGTCAACAGCATGGCTATGCCCCAGGCATAGCAGGAATACCATATGAAACGTGTTAAATTTCTTTTGAAACTATTGGCAACCCTGAGATCACGGAAACTGATCCAAATATCGAAACACAAAACGCTTAGCCACAGGAAGGCAGCAATGAAAAAGAAGTAACAAGTAAAACCTATAAAATTAAAAAAGAAATCGGATCAGATTTGAATATTTTCACAAGTTATCAGTTTTCTCTCTCTCTCTCTCTCTCTCATTTTCTCTTACCCAAAATACAACACATATTGGTATCGAATACCACCCCCGATATATTGATATAGCTCAAAATTGAATAACTGAAAATCAA